AAAAAAAGGCTTGGCTGAAACAATTTGGCCAATTTAACAAAACAAGTCTGGAAGCGAAATGAACAAAAAAGCGACAAAATGAATGCTACAAAAAAGGAGATATTTAGCATTTTTTTCTTTTAGCTAGTTAGTTAGGCTGCTTTTCGGCGGCGGCTGACGGCCAGCGGAAAGCTCTTCACCGCCAGCAGGCCAATCTTGCTGAAGGTCAACTCGGCGGGCGTCTCGGGCGCCGGTGCAAATCGGAACCGGCCCACCAGCGCCCCCAGACACAGTTTCATCTCCTGGTAGGCGAATCGCATGCCGACACCTGCAAAGAAATGAAACAAATTAATTTATCTCACGTTTATCAAGATAAACTCCTTGAATTCCCACAATTCCTTGGCCCACTTCCAAAAGGTAGAAAAGTGTACGGCACTAGAAGATGCTTATTTTCAGGCAAAAACCGATCTGGATTAAAGCGTTCCGGCTCGGGGCCGTAGTAGTCGGGGTGGCGGTGCACTGCGTAAGCGGGAATTTCCACGCCCATGTCCTTCTTCAGTTCCACGCCTCCCAGGCGGTAGCCATCCACTGCTACTCGTCGGTTTAGCCTCGGAACGGGCGGATACAGTCTCAACGTTTCCTTGATAACCGCTTCCAGGTACGGTGTCTCCTTGTCGCTGAGAACGCTGTTGATAAAGTGCTCAGAGTTGACTTCTTTTTCTTGAATGGCACTTTTCAGCTCTTCAGCTAGGCGAGCTTGAGCCTCAGGGTGGCGAGCCAGCTCAAAGAGGGCGTGGCTGAGGGTGCTGGAAAAAGTGGAAAATGTTTTTTAAAAACGGGTTTTAAAAATTTTTTTGTTAATTAAGCTTGCCTGGCTGTCGTCTCAAAGCCGGCCACAAAGAAGAGAATGCAGTTGGCGATAATCTCATTGTCAGTCAGCGATTTGGTGGTGGTGGTTGATCCTGTCGATTTTTTAGTTGATGAAGTAGTAGCTGAGTCTAGAAACAAAGTTACTGTTTAGCGATGGTAGTTACTGAGTACTCAAAATCAAGTCAACCTGGCTTACCATTATCATCTCCCTCTTTGGCCATTAATTTATCATAGTTTTTATCACCCAATTCCGAGTCTGAGACTTTTGAGTCAATCAGCAGCTGCACTAGGTCGACGTGCCGTTTAGTGGACAGGTTTGGATTTGCCCTTCGCTGCTCAATTACCGCCCGAGAGAGGTCGACAAAGAAGCGAAACGGCTCTGGATCGAGGTTCAGCGTGAAGCCAAAGAGCCGTCGAATAGGCGCCGGAATTAAAGTCAGCCCGAGGATTCGAAGCGGGTGAAAGAGAAACACCTTCTGTCCGTTTGCAATGAAAGGACTTTCCACTCCGGCTCGGTCGCCGTTGGCGTCTGTTTGCGTGGCAAAGGAGGTGGAGGCGATGACGTCGATGCTGAAGCCGGAGACTACCTTTTTGATGTCCAAAATGGCTGATGCTGCTGAAGAGCCTTTTGAGGTAATAGCAGTGTCAATGTACCGTTCCAGTCGCTGTACGGCGACGGTCATCAGCGGCACCATTGCTCGCAGCTTTCCACTGGTGAAGGAGGGGCTGGTGCAGGAGCGAATTCTAAAAAGTTAAAAATTATTTTTATTAGATTTAAAAAAAATTTTAATTCAGCACTTTACCGCTTCCAGTCGTCATCCTCGACGCCAAACAGATTCCGCCCCCAGATCTGGTGGTCGGAGCGGTTCTTCCGCCTGTTGACAAAGAGGGCAAAATCCCGGGTCATCACCTGCTTGATCAGCTCGGCGTCGAGGATTGTGAGTGAGGGCTTGAGGAAGTTGTACGTTCCATAGATTTTCCCGTATTTAGCCATCCACCGACGTTCGCAGACCAGTTGCCCCCGCCAGAGTTGCTCCCAAAAGTTGCCCAGAAAGGGAAGGCCCAGTGGGCCGTTGATGCCCCGATCGGCCCAGTAGCTGTACCGCTTGTTGATGTACCTGAAAAACAAAAACAATAGGGGTTTTTTTGTGTAAAAATTGTAAATTTAGCTGAAAATGTACTTACAGAATGAAAAAGACAAACAGCAGCGCCAGCTGAAAGGCAATCGTCGACCACTCCATTTTATTTTTTTTCAAGTTTAAAAGATGTTACTTAACTAAAGTTGAAGTTGACTATGAGCCTTTTATACAACAGCCCACACTGTACAATTTTCACTTTTCAATGCTAGTAATCTTTTATTGCTGCTCAGATACTGATATTTGTTACTGTACAGGAAAAAATCAATGAAAAGATGAAGACTAAAAATGCTACTTTTTTCACAACAAAATGAGAGGACGTTATGTCAAAGACATTTAGTGTTTGTGCGATTACAGTGTTGAAAAAAGTTTCAAACCGGTGATAAATCACCAAAAAAAAAGTTGGCAGATTAGAAAGAAACAAAGTATGTAAAAGACTAACATTTGTTGTGGTAATCTACTGCTGCTACTATCACTACTAATATCTAAAGTTTATATCAGTCTACGGGTATATTTGGCAGGGCGCTTATCAAGAGCACCAAAAATCGCTTATAACGTGCTTATGAAAACCTGTGTGTATAATAAAATATTGTTCCTTATGTATATGAGGAGTAGCTGCCTAACTGTCTGGCAAAAAGAAAGTGATTGCACCTAAAGTACTAAAGAAAAATGAATGAGTGAAAATGATTAAAACAAATGAAAATGAGAAATAAATAGAAAGACTGTGCCGGCTGAAATGGTGGTGAGGGAAAAATCAAATCAAACAAAATGATCAAACGAAAAACGTGCTGGTGGTGCTGACTGGCTGTAAAACTTAGGTCAATACTTTAACTCAAAACTAAAATATTTCAGAAAAAAGTTTTTCTTTTCAAAGTGAATGACTGATCAGTTTGTGACCTCCTAAAAAGGAGTTCTACAGCGGAAGCAGGTGCTGCGCATTCTGGTGACGTTGAAGTCCATACTTTGACGCAAAGGACTTGCCACACTGCGGATAGGTGCAAAGGTTCGGATTTCCCGTGGTGTGCATCTTTGCGTGCTCCACCAGGTTGTACTTCCGGCAGAAACTCTTTCCACACTTGGGCCACTCGCAGGTGTATCGGAGGCCGGTGTGAATGTTCCGGTGCGCTTCGAGGTGCTGGCGCTGGCGGAAGCGCTTGCCGCAGTTGTCCCACTCGCAAAGGAAGGGCTTCTCGGCGACGAAACAGCACTGGCAGCTCGGCTCGCCGGTTCCGTTTCCGGTCGAGCCGTGATGACCTCCCTTTCCTTTGCCTCGTCCGGAACCGGAGGAGCTTCCGTGGTGGCTTCCGTGGTGATTTCCGGAGCCGCCTTTAATGCGCATTGTTTTGGCTTTCGCCTGCAGCGAGACCAGTGCCGCCTGGATGGTGGCTGAAATGGCTGGAAAAAAATAAAGAATTGATTAGTTTGGGTGAGTTTAAAAAATTGAAACTTAAACAGATTTTTAAAAATTTTTTAAGTATTGTCTTTCAGAATTTTTCTCAGCTGAAGGTGAGTTTTCTACTAATAAAAAAAACGGATAAAAATGTTTAGTTTCTCACTCACCAGGCGGCGCTTCGCCCGCATTTAGCTGGCGGTGAATGCGGTCCAGCGTCTGGCGGAAGAGGAGAATCTCATCTTCCGCCCGCTCCAGCTTCGCCTGCAGTCGGGCGCCCTCGGTTGATTTGGTGTGCAGCTTCCGCTGGAGCGTCCCATTCTGCTCCTGCAGGCGGCTGATCTGCTCGGCGGCGCTGGCCACCGAGGAGTTGTTGCCAAGTGAGTTCTGTTGTTTGTTGTTGCTGTGCTGCTGCTGCTGCTGCTGCTGCTGCTGCTGTTGATGTTGCTGCTGAAGAAGGTTCAGCTGGCCGCCGCCGTTGGTCGTCGCCGAGGCCAGCTGCTGGACGGCCGCCGAGCTGACCACCGGTGAGCCGAAGACGTACGCCATTGCCGACTGGGGCCAGGAGTTGCAGTCCAGGGTGGCGGATTGGGTGGGGGGTGGTGGTAGGGGGTGATAGAGGATGAGAGGGTGATGAAGATTGGGGTGATGAAGATTGGGGTGATGAAGATGGCGACTGTGTGAGTGCCTTTAGGGAGCGACTGTGATGTTAGAGACGAGTGAGGAGGAAAATGAGGAAAGTTGGGAAGGGTGAGGGAGACAAGGAAGAAGAAGTGGAAGAAGTGGAAGAAGTGGAAGTGAGCAAGGGAGAGACAGGGATGGGGATGGGACAAGAGAGAGATAGAGAGAGAGAGAGAGAGAGAGAGAGAAAGAAAGAAAGAGAGAGAGATGGGAAGGGATGGGAGAGTGCAAGCCAGTGAATGATGGTGTGTGGGAGAGAGTGTTGGCGAGGGGAAAAGGAGAGGCACAGGGAAGAGTGGGAGAGAGTGGTGCACCGAGAATTCTGCCGCCGCCGCCGCTTCTTTTACNGGAGAGAGTGTTGGCGAGGGGAAAAGGAGAGGCACAGGGAAGAGTGGGAGAGAGTGGTGCACCGAGAATTCTGCCGCCGCCGCCGCTTCTTTTACTTTGTTTCTCTCTCAATTCACACAGTCTCTCTCTTTCTCTCTCTCTCTCCTGCTTCTCCTTTCCCACTTTTCTTTCTCTTCTTTTGTGTATCTGCTGTGTGTGTGGTGTAGTGTTTGGGGTGATTCACTAGGAGAGTGTGGTGAAAGTGGGGAGAGTGGGAAGAAGGAGAAGAAGAAGTGAGGAGAAAACGGGAGAGAGCGAAAGAGCGAGCGGGAGAGGATAAAAGCAAGAGAGAGAGAGAGAGAGAGAGAAATAAAATAAAACCAGAAAGAGAGTGAAAGAGAGAGAGAGAGAGAGGGACAAAAAGGACAAAGAAGAAAAAAGGAGAGAGGAAGGGAATAGCAGGGAAGAGCAGTGTAAAAGCAATGAAAGTGTGTGTGGTGCAAGTGGGGAGTTCAATATAGAAGTGAATGGGAGAGTGAAAGAGAGAGAGAGAAAGAGAGCAAAATGATAGAGAAGAAGAAAGAACGAGAGAGAGAGAGAGCAAAGTAAAAGCGAAAAAAGGAAAGCAAAAAACGAGAGGAAAAAGATGAAGAAGAAGAAGGAGAAAATGGACGAGAGCGAAAATTGCTGCACAACTTGAGTTGGGGAAAAGGAGGCAAGTAACGGCAAAGCAGCAGCAGCAGCAGCAAAAACGAGAGTGAGAAAAAAGTCTCGCTAAAATTGAGAGAGCAGAAAAAAAAGTTGTGAGAGATGAAGAGGAAAAAAGTGAAAAGAAGAAAAAAAAAGAAAAGAAGGAAAAGTGTGTAAAACGCCGAGTACAGCTCGCAGCTTTTAAAATATAAAAAATAATTTTTTAAACGTTTTTATTTTAAAAAACTTTTTTT